GTGCGGTGCGGTGCGGTGCGGTGCGGTGCGGTGCGGTGCGGTGCGGTGCGGTGCGGTGCGGTGCGGTGCGGTGCGATGTTATGTGATGTGTGGTGTGTGGTGTGATATGATGTGATGTGATGCGATATGATGTGATGTGATGTGATGTGATGTGATGTGATGTGATGTGATGTGATGTGATGTGATGTGATGTGATGCGATGTGATGTGATGTGATGCGATGTGATGTGATGTGATGTGATGTGATGTGATGAGAAGTGATGTGATGTAGTATAGTGGTGATTGGTATGGTGTATATAGTATAGTGTAATGTAATGTGTATGGTATGGTATGGTATGGTATGATGTGGGATGATGTGATATGATGTGATATGATGTGATATGATGTAGCGTGATGTGGCAAGGCGAGATGAAACAAACATTGTTTACTTTCTGTTTGCTCGCTTATTCAGCTCAATCAATCTGACTTGATTCAACTTGACTCGCTTTGATTCACTTGTTCGTTTTTTCGCGTTTTCTCGCGTCCGCAATTTTTTTTGTTATTCTCAATTGTGCCACGACAACGCTGTCTGACCCATCCTACTCTTTTAAGGATATGACAAAATATTGCTTAGACTAATATCTTACAATCATTATTCGTTTAATGCATAAGAAAAAAATCAGTCAATCAGCTATTTTCTCTTAGACAAAACTTTTATTTATACAATGTTATGTTATCTTTTTGAGTAGTTCTGAAATGTTTAATGAACTAAATCGATTATTTTATTATTATTTTAGACAATTTACAATGCAATTTGACAAATTAATAAAAAAGATTATAATGATCATAAACATTAAAAGAGACTTGGGAATTACTTTGAACGTGATTTGGCTCAGACTTGAAAAATAAAATTCATATTAATTATAATTTTTATATCAATATCGTTGTAACAAAAACATTTTTGTATATTTTTTTAGTAAGAGGAGCAAGACCAGGCAAGAATGTTCAGTTGACGGAAGTGGAGATCAGAGGATTGTGTCTCAAGTCACGTGAAATTTTTCTATCACAACCTATTCTTCTAGAACTTGAAGCACCATTGAAAATATGTGGTAAGCCAATTTACATGACATTTAATAACATTTACTTCATTTAGCCATATATTATTTTTTTCATAAGGTGACATTCATGGACAATACTATGACTTGTTGCGATTATTTGAATATGGCGGTTTTCCTCCCGAAAGCAACTATCTCTTCTTAGGAGATTATGTTGATAGAGGAAAACAATCGTTGGAAACTATCTGTCTCCTTCTTGCCTACAAGATCAAATATCCAGAAAATTTTTTCTTGTTGAGAGGAAATCACGAGTGTGCATCCATTAATAGGATATATGGATTTTATGACGAATGTAAGTACACTATTGAAGATATAAATATCTTTCTTGATATTTATTTTATAATTATTAGCTTATTTTGTTCTTTCTACGAATAATAAAATTATATTTTAGGTAAACGCCGTTACAATATCAAATTATGGAAAACGTTTACTGATTGCTTCAATTGCTTACCTGTTGCTGCAATAGTAGACGAAAAGATATTTTGCTGTCATGGAGGTTTGAGTCCAGATCTTCAGAGCATGGAGCAGATCAGACGTATCATGCGACCGACAGATGTACCTGATCAGGGATTGCTCTGTGATTTATTGTGGTCTGATCCCGATAAAGACACTATGGGTTGGGGCGAAAACGATCGCGGTGTTTCGTTCACTTTCGGCGCAGAAGTTGTTGCCAAGTTTTTACACAAACATGATTTTGATCTTATTTGCCGTGCGCATCAGGTAAATAATGTTAAAAAATGTTAAATATTTGGGAAATTTTTAGGACATTATGATGTATTTTAAATCAAAAAATTATTCTTTAGGTAGTAGAAGATGGTTATGAATTCTTTGCTAAACGGCAACTAGTAACGCTGTTCTCGGCTCCGAACTACTGCGGCGAGTTTGACAACGCAGGTGCCATGATGTCGGTGGACGAGACTCTCATGTGCAGTTTCCAAATTTTGAAACCAGCTGATAAGAGGAAATTTACTTATGGTGGTCTGAATGCTGGACGGCCTGTGACACCACCGCGGGGTGCGAACAACAAGAATAAGAAGAAGTGAAATCCTTGAATTTGTCTTTTGAATGCGATGCTTAGGATTTTACAACTACTATCGCCCGATCCACCATCTATTAATACATTAAAACCTTGTAAGAACGAGAAAAAGAATTAGGCAGAGAGAGAGAGAGAGAGAGAGAGAGAGAGAAGTTATAATTATTAGTATAATTATATTATTATTATTTTCGATTGACTACAAAGTCTGTGGAAATAGGTAAAGAAAAGTCGAGAACACATCTATCAGAAAATCGGAAGGAGCGTTGCTTTTCACAGAGTTTATCAAAAGTAGTAAGTGCGTAGTGCGTATGTTTGTAGTTAAATGTGTTACCGTATAAAACAAAATAGTAGGGATAAAATTAATTGGTTCATCATAAGATTAGAGAGAATTTTATGTGGTTTTCACGCGACATTCTTAATATCTATTGCGAAAAGTAAAAAATAGAAGGGCGGACACTTTCACTGTAATTTGTCTTTTTCTTTCATCGATCGCAACATTCACGTCTTTTAATTTGTTTGCCATTTGCATTATTCATCAGTGTTAATATCCAATTACTCGAAAAAAAAACAACAAAACTCTTTTTTTTATCATTTGAAAAAAATCGATGCGATAAGATAATTAATGGTATCACACAAATACATTTGCACGCACACAGCGCTTTCGCTCATTTCATTATGTAAGTAAGTTATTAACATAAATCGGTATACACAATACACACATACACAAATAATGAAGTAGCGATCATCTAGACTTAATTCCCTAAAGTATAATAGGTATTTACTTAGCTTGATACTTCAGTAAGTTGCACAAATTTGTAAACAACATCTATTACATCATAACTACTTTTATAAATATACATTTATATGTGTGTGAATTGTGAAATATACAGAAAGGGAGAGAGAGGAAAGAACAGATTTTCATTTTAAGAGCAAGTGTCGAAGCATTAACGAATTATTAATATGCATGTTATACATTATCTCGTGACGAACGGGTATATTTGTATCGCAATTATTGCGGTGACAAGACTTTTCTGGATTAATTTCAACAATACTACAACAATGTTCGTATGTAAATGTGGGAAGATATTAATCATGTGATATAAATAAGCATATGCGAGCGCGCATCGTTTAGCGATTGATGTCACTGATGTTATCGACGATAATAGGCGATTCTAATTTTCGAAAAGGAAAGAAGCTTTTGGCAGTTGAGGGATTTGCCATTCTCGATCGAGACAAATCTGTTAACAGGACGAATCATTACTATTATTAATATTATCATCATCTTCCTTTTCTCCCTCATTCCTCTATCATGTTCGTTTTATTCAATTCTCCATTCATCCTAATCCTCATTAGTCCCATTAGCCAATGCAGATTCATCCTCGATAATACGAAAAAAAAAAAAGAAAAAACCGATAATTATGAAAAACCACGACGTGAGGATCTTATTACGAGACCATAAAATCGATCGTATTTAGTCTCCTTTCTTCATACTTGTACATTAATTTCTTTTATAAATAAAATTCACACAAAAGTACCCATCACATTTCTTCGATGTGTCTCATCCAACATCCGACATCCCGAAAGGAGCTCTTCAATATGCATGTGTCGTATCACTCTTGAGCTTATTCATTACGAATATCTCATACCTTTGTATCGAATGCATAATAGGTATATATATAATAGGTATATATTATATACCACTTTGTACAACGTTCGTGTACAATATTCATTTATTCTTTACATTTGTACGCGTATCCGCTCGTTGAAGATACGTCTATGTATATAACGAATCAAGTTTCCAAGTTTGCTATTAATCCAATTACGTTTAATTGGATACAATCGTTTTTGCAGATATGTAATTTTACCTATGTCACCGAAAGACATGTATGTACAAGGGCTAAACTGATAACACCAATCGTCTCGTCTCATTAAGTTCTTTGCGATGCACCTTCATTTGTAAGTCTCAATAATTCTATAAGCATGATAAACGATGTTACGAGATCGTTGATTGGCATGTCGAAAATGTGTGTCTAGTTGTCTAATATTTATTCAAGTGGAATAAACATGTGTATTATTCCAAGGAGTGAGAAAGGGAAGAATATAAAAAGAAGAAAGGAAGATACGATATTAGGAAAATTAAAATAGATCTAATTATACGAATTATATGTACGAATTATCTTGTTCAACTTTCTAATATCCAAAGTATGCGAATATATGTATATTAAAGTAAGTCTTTTTATTTCAATATATGCGAAGTGTATTATAGACACAAAATCGCAAAGCCAAAAAATAAAATTATGAGCCGGCCAAGAATTTTCATTTTACTTTTCTAAATAAATTGATTAATTAGATTTATTATCTCATTTTATTAATAATCATGTCATATATAAATATATATATAAATATATATATATATATATA